TGTAAAAAAAAGAATTAATTTTTATTGGGAGACAGAAACACGGACTAAACGCCCAAAATGATACTGCTTTGTTGGGTGAATGTTATTTGCCGCTTTTAAATTAGTGACGTTTTTTTTTATATTTCTGTTTCTGTTATATGCATTACAAGTTATTGAGTTAGTATTTTTTAACAAAAATCCTAACTCTTATACCTGTCTGCCAAATTGTCAGAAAATAGAAATATGAAAAATCATCAATTTTGAAGCCTTGTAATTTTCATAATAATATTCCAATATTTAAGCGACAATTTTTTTCTTTGTATTTTGAAATATGTTTTTTCAAAATCTGAAAACCATTTTCGATTATCTGTATTACCAAAAAAGATATACATTTTTCAAGCTATTACGGTAAAATGACGTTTCCTTTGCATTTATGAGTAATTCTAATGTTTCAACACATCTTTATTATATGATGCTTATTATGATTTAATTCTAATTCTTAATAAATATATGTGTTTATTAGTCTATTAACAATCGGGAAAAAAAGTCAAAATACGGTGATTTTTATTGGAGTTATAATAAAACAAGAAGCTGAGGTCCTTCAGACCCCAATGTAGCATCTACGTATGCGAAAAATAAGTGTATATACCTAGGGTTAATACCGCGTTTTGACTTCGCGACAATTCAGGCGATATTTAAGACAAATTAAGACGCGTACTTCTCACGCGAGCAAGTGTTGCGGGCTTTACGGCGACAAATAATTACTGCGTTTTATTTACTTTTTTACTTTTTATTGCATATTGGGTAGCAACTCGAGCGTGCTATTACGACGATTTCCTTACCTCGTCTTGCTGTCGTGTGTAATTAATTGATACCGATATATTGATACTGATACCTGATATTATTTTATCGTTGTCGATTAGATGTTAATATCATCATCCAATAATTAATCGGGTATTATTACTTCTTTATTCAGCTATGATTTAAAAACTTCTTATTGCGCATTAGGAAAAAACTCGAGCGTGCTGTTACGATAATTTCTTTTCTTTGTTTTGCTGTCGCGTGTGACTAGTTGATACTAATAATACTAAATTATTAAATTGTGATACTAAATTATTAAATTACTAAATTAAATTAAATTTCTGTCACAGAGATCCAATAGAGCAGATGCAGTCACGCGGCTCTAGGAGATGCGACACCTGGGGGATGCTGCGACGGATGATTCGTCTCGGAACTGTTTGAGTCGGCTTGAAGGTGAGCTTCACTAATTTGAATTGAATCAAAGATTGCTTAAATCGTAATCATATGCGGAGAGAATTTTTTCTGAGTAACATCACCCCTTGAAAAATTTTTAATTGTTCTGATTAAAAGATTTATTTTCAACGTCGAGAAAAAGGAAAATGGAATATTCCAAGTGTGAATGCATTCCGAAAAATTCTTTCGGCGTGAAAAATATCGCGTTCATTTTTTAATCCTTCAAAATTCTTCACTCAAATCGTTATCAATGCACGAATCTAATCGGCAAAACAACATTTTTCTGTTCCAAAAACTTTTTTTTTAAGTGAGAAAAATGCAATTACGCATGCTCCGGACTGGATGGTACCCGGGGCAGTGTGAGACTCCCTCTCCCCAGAGGGGGAAGAGTATACTAAAAACCTCACTGTATCCTTCTTACCGCTAGGCGCTGCTCCCCGAACGCCAACGAGGGCATTGTTCATGGGCGCAACCAACGTTAATTTCTTGGTTCCCTACTTGTCCCTTCCTTAGATGAGTTGGTACAGTCGTGCAATCGCGGTCCGGGTCCCGTGTAAATCTGGGTAGATTCCACTATCTATACAGGAACCCCTACCTCGTTACCGGCGTGTCACAGTTCTTCCTCTTTGTACTCTTCAACAACAGTAGTAATTATCTCATCATTGTACGTGTTCACTTGTTTCCTTCTATCTGCATTCCTTCATCTCGTTCCTTCCTTACCTCTCTTTTTATTTGTTCCATAACTTCTTTATTTCTTTCGGCTACTTCCTTTCTTGTGAGTACCTCTGCAGCAAAGGTTTTTACAGCCTTCCATACATTCTTGTTTTCAATCATATTTGGGATCAGATCTTCCATGTTTAGATTTATATCACCTACTGCCATCCTCAGTGTATGTCTGTCCTTGGTCCATGCCACACATTCTTCTAAAGTATGCTCTGGAGAATCTTCCTTTTCCCTGCAATAGATACATTGCTTTCTCCGTCTTTCCAATTTAAAAAAAAAAATGTTCCAAACGAACTGTGCCCCCCTATTAACTGAGTTAAATGGTAGTTAAGCATATCTTCCTTCCGGTTTAACCATTTCTCAAACACGGGTATTATCGTTTTCAACACTTTTTGCCTTTTACCCGTGTCCGTAGCAGTTACCTTTAGTAAGTTCTATTCATGATTATGTTGGCTAGCTATATTTCCTTCCTCGTTTCCTAGTCGGTATCTCCCCATTCTTTCCTTATACACAACCTTTCATAAATCCTTCTCTGTTTGGCCGATATTAATTGTATCGGCGGGATTCTTGTTAAGAGCATGGAAGCTTCATACGATAGAGTCCTGTACCCACTTATTGTTCTAAGTACCATACTCCTTTGTATTCTCAGTAATTTATTACGATATGTTACTTTGTCCTCCAGTTATCTGCTCCATATTGAAGCTGCTGGATAAAGAATTACCGAGTGAATCATACCGATATATACTCTTCTTTTAAACTCATATGGACCTCTGATGTTAGGCATTAGTTTCCATAGAGCTCTCAATACTCTATTAGCCTTGTCTGCCACATACTCAATGTGGGATTTAAATGTTAGCCTTCTATCAAAGATAATTTCCAGATATTTGAACCTATCCAAAACTTCTACTTCAATACCCTCCACCATTACTTCAACCTTCGGCATTCTACCCCTTCCTTTTTCAAACAATATAACTTCTGTCTTATGGTTGGCTATTTCTAGCTCTAGTTGTGTTATTCTATTTACAACTGTAGCAATACAGGGTCCATTGATGAGAGCGGCATCTTTGGTGTCCCTCCTCTTGCTAGGACAATTGTGTCATCCGCATAGCAGATCATTATGCAATCTTATCTAATTTGCGTCCTCAATACATAGTCATATGTTAAATTCCATAGTGTCGGACCCAGGACCGACCCTTGGGGGACACCTGCGAAAATTTGTCTGCTCCTCATCAGTTCACCCTCCGCGTTTTTATAGTTAATAAATCTGTCCGAAAGGTAGTTATCTAGGATTCTTATTAGATATTACGGGAGTCCTTTTTCCTTGGCCTGTTCCATTATCTTGTTCCAAAATAGGGATCCAAATGCATTCCTAATGTCAATTTCCGTCGCTATGACACACACTCCATCTTCTAACGCTGCATCTACATATTCTTTCAGACAATTGGCGTCTATTGTTGATAATTCCTCCCTGAATCTAAATTGTCTCTAATGCAATACTTTGTTTGGCAATTCATTGAAATATCTCTTTATTCTACCGTCTATTATACGCTCCAGCGCCTTGCCAATATCGTTGAGCAGACAAATCGGTTTGTATTTGTTCGATCTTATTTGTTTCGGAATTAATATTAAGTTACCAACTTTCCATTCTACCGGGAAGATACCTTCTTTTAGGCATCTGTTGTAGATCCAAGTCACATAGTCCAGTAGTTCAGAGGGGACTTGTTTCCAATAGCTTACTTTAATGCCATCCGGCTCTGGAGCTGTAGCCCGCGTCTTTTTTGCTTTTTAGTGCCTTTTCGATGTCCGAAGCCTCTACTTCTAACTCTTCTGTCCACTGTGTGTCCATAGGTTCCACCGTATTATGTAGTGAGGGGGTTCCGGGAAATAGTTCATCCAAGACTCGGTTCAAGGTATCTGTTGTCATGGTCTCTGTAATCGGGACATTAAGTTACCAACTTTCCATTCTACAGGGAAGATACCTTCTTTTAGGCATCTGTTGTAGATCCTATGTTGATGTACCTATTATGTAGTGAGGGGGTTCCCTCTCCTCATCTTACCTAATATTACCTTATAGAGTTTTCTCCACGGGTCTCTATCAAGGTCCTCGAGAAACTCCTCCCACGCTCTATTCTTAGCTTTTTTAATTTCCCATCTAAATTTTGCTTTAGCTTTCTTGTATGCAATCCAGGCTCTTTTAATCCTTTCTTCATCACGATTATATATTTTTAACCGTATCAATTATCTTCTAGCTTTGTTACATCTGTCCCTTAGATTCGCTAATTCCGGTTTCCACCAATAGACATCTTTTCTTCTATTTTTGTTTCCAATTATGGGGGCCGCTATATCGTAGGCGTTTGTCATTATTTTCCCCATTATATTCACTGCTTCTTCAAGTGGAGTCAGCGTTTACTCCAGGATTCCACAAGCCTAGTGTAATTGCTGCTTTAAATTTATCTTCATCAAATTTATGCATTGTCCATCTAGGGTTGTTTTGGGCACTTTTCCAGACGTTGTAGTTATTAAGTCTATATGGATATACCGTGAATTGTATATATAGGTGGTCGGACATTGATTCTAAATTCCTTGTATGTACTATTTAATCTATTACTCTTTCTCTCAGATCTGGAGTGATCCATGTCAAGTCCACCGTTGACGTACTTTGGGGACGTATGCATGTATAGGTCTGAAAGTCATTTATTAACCTCATTTCCAATGCTGACATTGTTTCCCATAAGTATGGGCCAGAAGCGACTTCTGGACTCCGTATTACATCTCCATAAGCGAATTCGGGCATTAAAATCCTCGGCTACTATGATAGATTTTCTATGGTAAGTTTTAACGAGATCCGATAGCTCTTCTATTGCTTCCGCGTATTCTCGTAGTCTCAGGTTCGGGGATAGGTATATTGATATTATGACCACATTTCGGCCTGAGCAGCCACCATACCTTTTCCTTTATGTAATAGGACGCATACCCCAAATATCATTTCACGTGATGACTGCTAGATCAGTCCTGTCGCACAACCAATAAGGGGATTGTGGCACATGGTTTGGTTCCAACACCACTCCTATTGCGATCTGTTCAACCATAGTCTGCATGAGTAAGTCCTGCTCCGCATTACTCCTATTTAAGTTCACTTTGAGACATTTAAACATTTTGTGTTTTGTTTAGTTCTGGCCCCCGATCCAGCTTCTTGTTTGTCATGTTCATGTTGTTTCCCTGACTACAGTAGAGTCCACCTAACCTATGGTTATCCCTTTTACCCTTTTCTTTATAAAGAATACAACATAAGCAGTTTTCACAATCTCGCGCCAGATGACCACTTTTGCTGCATTTGTAGCAAGTTCCCCCTCTGTCGATGTTGCTCCTACATGCGTGGCGGATGTGCCCGTATTCTCAGCACTTATAGCACTGCATCGGTCTTGCTCCCAGCATTTCCACTCTTACTATGGACCATCCCATCCGTAACCTGTTCATTTCTACTAACTTAATGGCCGCTGCTATGTAGTACTACCCATGTGATCCCTAGTCCCGATCTCATTTGTCTTATTTTACTGACTTTGATATCATTGTAATCGCATTCTCCATTAAGCGCTAACGTCTCAGCTATTTCACTCTGGGTCACAGAGTCGTCCAAACCCATAATTTTTAGCTTTCCTTTCTTCATAGAGCGAGCAACCACCGCTTCGTCCTTCAACACCTCTCTCAATTCTCTCGCAAGTACATCCGCTTGTCTTTACTGTGTTCTCCGGTAATCTCTATCAGTAATCCTCCATTAAGGGCTTTTCTTATTTTTGGCGCTTTTATTCCTATTTCATCTAGGTTGATCTTCTCTCTTGCCTTTTTTTAGCACAGCTGCGTATGAGGATTCAATTGCCCCTCCCGAGGTAATAGTAATCGCTTCCGGTTTGGGAGCCTTTCTTGTTGCTCTCTTCTTGCCTATTGTTATTATTGCGTTGTTTTTGTCGTCCTTGTTTTCATCGGCGTTCCTACTTGTACCGTTAGTTATAATCCTAGTTTCAGCTCTATTTTTATCTTTGTCCTTAAATGTATTCCGTCCGCCTTTAGCTACTTGTCATTCTTCCTCTGTTGCATTAGGAGTATCTAATATTGATATACTTGCCTCACCATCCCTCAGTGTCACAGAGGGGGGAGCTATTATTACGTTAGAGATTATTTTCGGATTATTGTTTCCCGACTTTGACGCTGTTACTGAAGCGTAGCTTCCTTCCCTTTTTTGCCTTTTCTCTCACAGTTCCCTCCTTTCTTTAATGAGAACATCTATTTGATGACTGATGCTTTTTTCCTTCTCAATCTCCGAATTGTCCACTTCTGTATTTATTTGTATAGTTTTTTGTATCTTGACCGGCTCTTTTCTGACCCGGG